CGTTTCCGCACATCCTCTTCCCTTTCCATTGCTGGGCCAATTCTGGGTGCACGTCTTCTTGCAAAGCTGGATTCCGGCTGCATTACTCAAACTCCCCCAAACACTGATTTTGTGGAAGAAGACAATTTACTTCTTTCCTTGTTAATGGCTCAGATTTTGTTAGCCACCTCTACAATTGAAATTTATCCTGACAGCTTCCCTGTAACTACAAAAGAGCAAATGAATCATTTTTCATTTTATTTTGAGCTCAGGTGACTTTGATGTCGAAGACAACACGACTCGCTCTTACTCGAAAAAATTGTTACCGGAAATCATGATTCAAAGTTGTTTGTAATATCTTACCGAATTCTTTACTACCTTTTTCTATCTTTCATGCAAACTTGTAGCTGCCTATTAACAGAAAATGAAAGCACTTCGAATTGCATCATTCACCTCACAGCCGACTCAATGACTTAAAGTCACAACAAGTATAACTCAGAGTAAATTTCCGACTCTTTAACGAGAGAACAAATAACAAAAACGGATTCGAACCAAAAGGCTGGGGCAATTAGGAAAGTTGAAACCCCAACGAACATGATCTCAAAGGACTGAGGCTCATCTATTAGATGCGTTTCCAATTTCTAACAATTCCGGAAAATGATTGTCATGATCCTCGACTTTCACTTGACCCGAAACCAAAGACCATCCGATAATTTGCATTTATGGCTTGTGCCATAGACCATCTTTGCTTATGTCTACCGCCATTTGTGACGCACATGGAAATGTGTAGAGAAAAGTCACTATACTTCCGTTCAGTCGAAGCTTTAGCCTATTCAAATGATTCTTCGCGTTTTAGACGATTCCGGCGTTAGCGAGGTGACTTTCTGGAGGAATATTAGAAGGATATTAAAAGGGAAATACGAAAAGAAATCTCATTTATGTTAATACTAGGATTAGGACTTAAAAAAATTTAGCTGCTGTCTCTGTGGCGCCAATTTTCCGCCTTCTTCCTCCGTCATCATAACATTTTTCTATCATCTATATCATGATTATTATCGCGATGTCTGTTAATGAGACCCTCTAATCTTCAGGTTGGTCTAGTTAATTTTTAAGTCGATATATACTTCTTGGTGTTCTCCTGCAAAGTTTGGAAGGGGTTTAGAATTCGTTGCCTCCCGTCTTGTTGCTGATGATTGTTGACCCAAGACAAGTCGTACCGAAGCCTTTAAAATATTTTCTATTGACAAAACGACCCCCAAAGACTGCTCTCATCAATTTTACACATGGCCGGCACTAACGCTAGGGGTATGCAGGTCACATCAATATTCTTAAGATTCAAATCTTCGAGGGGGACCCTTTTCATTTATGTCATCTATCTCAGTTTCGCATGGTGACAAATGAATACATTTGTTATTCACAACTTGTTTAATCATATGCTTCTCAAGCTCTCTTACTGCTGAACAGTGACACTTGTGATACAGGTGTAAGCCACTTCGTACATTACATGACACATTTTAGTCTCATTGCCGTGGTTCCCTACAATCGACCAGAAAACACTCTCCACAATCAGATAGGCATGCCAATTGTCCTAATAATGCCGAGATTAAGGTTGCTTTTCTTGCGCTGGTGCAGTTCGAGAAAGCCAGCTTTTAGAAGCCTCGCACATCAACGAGGTAAGTTTGTTCCTTTCAGTCCAAAGTGAAAATCGGTCGGAAGCCGGGTTCCGGCACAGTTTAAATTCCTAGCGTCCTTCTCTAAAGAGCAAAATAGCAAGTTATTTCCTTGCTCACTTCCACGTATTGTTGCACCTGAAGTAACACTTCCTGTGTAATACAACATAATGCGTTAGTTTGTCATTCTTATCTGTAGTTCCCTGTCGTTGCACCCACTCGGCCTTTGCGTGGTTCGAACTTCGCGTGGGTGTCACGGAACTACGGGACGTAATATAAAGTTGGCTCACTATTGGCTAACATAGCACCAGATTGTAAACAAAAGCGAGAACATAATTAGGCCTTACATAGTGGTATCTCTATTTTTCTACCTGCTATTTGAAGGAATTTTTTATCATTATTACCGCCATATAATAAGTGAAATGGAAAAAGCAGAAGCCGATACTGTGCAGTGAACGGCTTTAATGTGGCGTTGTCAAAACTTCCTGTTTAGAGCTACGCTTGGAATTTTCCTCGAATGAAATTCAAGATTTTTGCTTCAGTATGTCAGAGATGTTCGATTTTTTCTATACAGTAAGACCATAAAACTAAACAGTCATTTGAGAGGCCGCACAGGTCGGCAACACTCAAGGAAAACTGCATACAGGCCATACAGCCTTCTCAGTTGGCGCGTAATCAAGCTTAAGCAGAGCGGTAGACAACTAATTGTACAAATGTTTACACTTTTGCTGACGATGAAAAAATAAATCACACAGTTGGATATGGAAGACAACAGCCAAAAAGCTTGTAGGAACTTTTACATAATAAGAACAAAAATGATTCAGTTCATGATACATATATCCCAGTCTCTCAAGCCTATTCAGATGTATTTCTTCACAAGTTCAAATGGAGTGCTGGCATTCAAGTTTCTAAAAATATGGCAAGGATACTGCTGATTCAAAAAGAAAATTATCACAGAGGAAAATATTGTACTATAAAAAAATTGATTTAGGCTCTTTCTAACCAGACGAACCATATTTCATCTTGAGTTGCGATTTAAATTTCGAACCTAGAATTAAAACGTAACAAAAAATGGTATTGTTAGATTACATAGACATTTTTTGATAACTTAACAAATGGTTTTTATTTCTGCGTGTGATTTGTTCTTATCAGTTTTGGGCTCTTTCCAACCTATGAGGAAATATAGTTTATCTTGAATTATAAAATCAATAATGCTAGAAGTTAGCCCAGTGGATAGTGCGCTGGACTGTTATGCTGGAGGTCGAGGGTTCGAGCCCTGGCTGGACCAACACTCAAGGTCTTAAAATAATTGAGAAGAATTTGCTACCTTTCTATAACATCAAGAAATGGTTAGATATTCTAGTCTTCTCGGATAGGGACGAATAAATAGAAGTCCCGTCTCCTGCAGGGTTGGGGTAGGAGACCTTAATTTCCCACACACAAGATTACTGTGTGATGGATGTCCTCCCCTGGGGTGGTATGGGTGGGAGGGTGGACTAGCTCGAATGGTTCCTATGTTCCTTTCTAGTCCTTCCCCACTGCAAATTAATGCAGTGAAAATGGAATAAACTAAATTAAATTAAGTATTTAGAATAGCAGACTCAGCCATTGAGAACGCAAGGACAACATTATCTGATAAGAACAGGTTTTGAAATAAAGAAATTGCTCTTAATTTACGCTTGACTTTTATTCATATCATTTTGGGTTCTTTCCTAGTAGATGTAAATAAATTAGTTCAAGTTTAGTTCAGAGAAAACTATTTTAGAATTATTCAATATTAATGACGGAGACATTAGAACAAAATCAGCAAAAGATTGCAAATTTGTTGATAATTTCAAGGAATAATTTCTACTAGGGCCAGTGAAATCGGTTGCTAGTTCCACCAATTATAAAGTGATGAGATTCCCAAGGAGAAAATAACAACATTACTTTACAATAGAGCTGCTCATCTGTAAGAAAGTCTTCATTTCGATTATTTTAAAGGATCATGATATTTGGAGCTCTACTCAGTCTTTCAAGATGTAAATATGATTTTATCCCTTGAGCTGAATACAGTTCGAGCGGCCGAGCACACAATGAGAACATTAAACTTCATTTATTGAAGAAAATAGAAACAGCAACACGACAACGCGCCAATTCCGTTCCGCTTAGCACACAAAGTTCTGTCACGCACTCCTCGTAAATAAATATCCGCGAAATTTTTCCGTTCTGAAATAACAATTTGGCATGTTGGATAATAAATAACTTATTGGACGTTTTATTGTGTAGTATCGCTAAGTATTTTTACTCGTTATTTGTATTTTGACTCGCCCTAGGGGCTCGTTTAATACGGCACAACTCGTAAAAATACTCAGCGATACTACACAACAAAACGTCTAATAAGACATATTTATTAATGTCATCTCAGTGACCAATAATGATGTTATTGCCATCTGGCTAGAGAAGACAAAAGTGAACCAATCAGTATGTATCTTTGATAACCGCAACGTTATTACCTGTAGTTGCAATAAATTATGACGGATTCCAGATCGTTTTATTTTATTGAGCTTCAGTAATGATTCTAACGGTTCAAACAGGTTTCCCGATCAGATTTCCTTGTCAAGACATTTCTCATTAGAACAGCTTTTAGTTCAGTAATTTGGATCACTCAGTGACGAAAAACGCCTTTGATTATGCATATAGTGCGAGGTCTGTAAATTTTTTATTTACTATAGCTTTATCTATCATTTCCCCAGATTTTGCTATACACGCATCTTGCGAACGGCTCTTTTTATATTGCCTCAATCGTTCAAAGATTCATGAATCCCCGCGCGTCTCGATTGGAGGTATGAAGCAAATCGATTCAACTAGTAGCGTCAAGTAACTACTCACAAAGACCTGACGGCTGCAAGTTGATAGATCGCGCGCCACGTAGAAATATTTATGAGAAACATTAAAACTTTTTACTAAAGTATTCATTCTCCTGCCATTAAACGTTATAGCATAACCAAAGTAAAGCGCGCGCTCTGATTGGTCAATTCACTGTCCACCATTTGCCCATGAGCGTACGCTGCTGACGTGAGCAAATGCAAGGACTAGTTTTCGAACGCTTGTTTCTTTTTTTCTGTTTATGTACGATTTCAGTGTTAAATAAAAGAGAACTCTTTTACCACAATGTATTAATCGGTTATGTCCTAAAACAAACGGTAAATACCACAGCGTACGCCACTGAGTTATGGATGCACTTGGGAGGTTTGCGAAACACTCAAGAAGCTAGAGTCGCTAGCTCTCGGCTATCGCCTCGCGCGACTCTTACGCTTCTTTCGTGCTTAGCAATCTCCTGCGAGCACCATAACTCAATAGTGTACGCTGTGGTGTTTACCATTTGTTAAGTATGTATCGGGAACCTTGAAAGAATTAAGAATTCTTTCGCGAAAAGAAAGGATCCCCAAAGTGATGGCAAAGGCTTCTTAGCTCTTTTAATTAGACTCTTAATCGGATACTTCGCTATTCGAAGCTCCTGAAAAATCATCACTAGGGTCCTCTTCTCCTCCACCCCTGGAGCGAGAGACGGAGGTGTCACAGCGTTTTGGGTGTCCCCGAGCTTTGGATATCCTCGTACCAAAGATCCTAGCATTTTTTGTATCTCCTCTGGGGATACCCAGAGCGCTAAAAGTGAATTAAACTAAAGACTGGGGCAAGTAACATGGCGTCCAATGTTGACTCATCGTTGCCAAGGAAAATTGCTTTCCGAAGTCAGAGAAATTGCTTTCCTAAGTTAAAAAACGTCAGAAACGTCCGTCAGGACTGGGTTTGAGTAAAAGAGCCATCAATCAGAAGAATTGGGTTAGTTGCTTCGCTCGTAAACAAAATCAAGATACACCGTCGCTGTGATGTCTTGAACGATACAATGACAAATTTTTCGTTGTTGGCAATTTGTGAGCACTTACCCAAAATCATCTGTAGCAGAGTCTCGAGCGGATATTAAATGTGTAAAACTTTAAAATACTCAGCCAAAAGCTTGCATCTAGAAGTACTAAGGGTTTCACTCCTAGTTTAGCAATCATTGCCACCAATTAAAATTCACGCGGAATCAGGAGATAAATTAATTAATTTACTTCTCTAGTATGTTGCTGATTGACATTTACAAGCGCGTATGATTGTCTCACCACATTTTGTTTTCATAACTTCTGGAACACATGCCCGGGTTTTGCTTTTAGTACAAGAATTAAGCCGATCAGAATGGTTGCAGACGGAGATCGTTCGATATTTGCCACACTTATACACAATTCGCCTTTCTTTGGTACAAGAGTCATGAGGTGGAATATATCTTGAAATCTTTGGCTCTTTAGTGCCCATATCCTCGATGGGAAGATCTTCGTCCTTTAGCTCGTCGCCCAAGGCTTTAGCGGGTACACCGGGCGACAGTACTTCTTCGTTACTTATACCAACCGTTGCCATAGTAACTTGAAGAGCAAGGAAAATCAGAACCACCTGTCGTTGGTTAAGGAAAATATAGAGAGATTTAGCACCGCGTTTGCGTGAAACGTGAACAGCAAGAATGACCACGTGACCTTGTTTTTCCCGCAATTTTTTCACGGTTGCGCTTCGCCGTTTGTACGTGAAAATAACCTGTTTCGCGTTTGCCGCGCACATAAGATTTTCTCCACTTTTTTTCTCACAGAGTAGAAAGTTACTTGCCAGAAAAAGGGCACTCAAACTATTTCTTGTATATCATACAAGGGCCCCTTCTAATCCACTATGACGTGAGCTCACGCGAAGCTGAATCAGCAAGGTTCAAGCTATTTTACGTGGAACGTGAAAGGGCAAGCTGACGTTCGCCGTTTCACGTAAACGCGGTGTTAAATCTCTCTTATACCTTGTGAGCATGCATGTGCAAAAATTAAAAAAATGGTAAAGGAAGAACTTATTGCACAAGTTTGATTGTTGTTGCAATTTGTTTTCAGCCGAAAATATGCACAGAAGTTAATAATAGTTCTAGGAGTTTTATGATTAGGTTTTTTGGCAACATAAAAACGAATTTCGCCATCAATTAGCCCTAGCATTTTAAGTGTACAAAAATGTATAGTGAAAAGACTGGCTCATCTTTTTAACGTATTAAAGCAAGCTCTGAATTTTTAAACGGTATCAGTTTGACCACATTCAAGAAGCTTTAAAAAGGTATCTTGAACTCATCAAAATATCGAAGCCATAGAATTTCGCGGCGTACTTCGCCACTAAGGTAATGCTACAATAAAATGTAAACTTATTATAACAACAAAAATGATGGGATTCGTTTTCCTTCGATGAAATTGTTACAGAGCCCCCATAAGCTGTTAAACGAAAAAAAATTTTTTTTTTTGGCTTTCGTGTGAATGCTCCTGGCTTTGAACGATTTTCATATGTACTGACGACCGAATAACCGATTCTTTTGGTGAAGAAATATTAACAAGTCAAGGCAAAATAGTTGAAACTTACATGAGTCAGCATGCGCAACATTTTTGTTACTTTTTCTCGTTTTCTCGCAGTAATCTTTTCCGTCGGCTGAAGGACACTGGCATCAGTTGCGTTCAGCTTCCTGTTTATATTTGTTTGGAGTAAAACCAGATGGTTCTCATGGGCTTTTGTTTTTACCGTCTTGTGAAGCTTTTTTGAGGGCAACTCTTCAATATTACTTAGAATTGTGAAAGCGTGATCTACATATAGCAGATAATGAAACCTAGGCTTTTTAGAGTTTAAATTTAGCTTTTCTAAAAGCTAAAATTTTTTCTTTGTCTGATTAAGGAAGTTCGAAGCGCTAAATTTACTTGTGTGGACAGGTGGTTAGGGGTCGCATACTTAATTCAGCTATTGGTAAATTTTACAATGACTAAAATACCATGTTAGAAGTAAAATTTGCCATGTAATACAAGTAATTTCTATCATGCTGAAACCTTCTCTCGACTCAAATTAATCGATACTTGCTTCACGAGTCACTCGTTTTGCTTTTTCCGTTTTTAAACTTTGTACCAGCCATAAAGCATTAGTTCGTGCATGTGTGGGTAATTTGCATGATTTAAGGATCGTGTTTAAAATGTCTTGGTAGCCACGTCAGCCGCACAAAAGATGCCGGCTAGCCTCTTTTTTTTTAAGCAATTTTTTTACAGTGAGGTAAAAAACCCTAATCTCTTACCATACACCTCCAAGAGGTTTCTGCAATTATTCTAAATGTAACGTCGGCAGTTTTTTGTGTGTGTTCGCTCATATTTAATCGAAACAGTATGAGAGGGACATTTTTCAAGGACCGGTTCCTTTGTTTTGAAGTATGCATCTTAGGGAAAGTTGAAATTGCATTTTTTTTTTTTTTTAATGTAGCTGATGGAAATTGAATAAACTTAAATTATGAAAAAAAAAAAACTAGCTCATGATATTCTGATGCACTCCATTCCTTGTAGGTTTTTTACTCCGCACTGTTACGATTAAGGTTTCAAAACTGGAGTTAAAATTGTTAGAGGTCAACAGAAAGAATGAGAAATTTACAAACCGAATTAAAAATTAAGCAACGTACAATTTAAACTCCGTTCGAGTTGTCCTAAAGATCAAATAAAATGTCGAGCATCTTTATGGTGTAAGCTTTGAAAGGGGAAATCCATGATAATTGCTTTGATCAACAGAATGCTTTTATCCAATCTCTCCAAGCATCAAATAATTAAAACATCGACCACCTTTAAAAAAACTGAGTTATATTACAGTAAATTCACCGATCAAATAAGCATTCACTTGTTTCATTAGTGGGGAATTAAATATTTCAGTTCAAAAAATTAGACCCGGCTGCAGGAAATTGTTGCAATCGGAAAACGTATAATTTGCTTTTTTTCATCAACTTAATGTGCTAATTTGGGAAAATTTTAGCTTTTTAAAGGGTCACTAAAAAATATAAAGGTTATTTCATCAGCGGGATACCAAACAATATTTATTCATTTTACGATACATCCTGCATGTGTCTATGATATATCAATAGATAATTTAGTTTTTGAGAAGTAAATAAAATGACTTGTGAACCTTGCTGTCTTTTTAATCTAAGTATTCAAAGTTGGAAAACTTTCAAATACTTGTGAAATGTCAGTTTGAGGCTGATATGGCACCAAATTTTGAATTTTGAACGGTATCTGCCGAGATGAAAAGCCGCGACTAACCACCGCCGCAAAAACGGCGAGTTCTTAGAGTTCCAAGATGAATGTGAATTAAAAACCAGTGAATTAAGAATAATTCAGAGCTTGAAAAAACATCTCCACACCTGTTTTTCCATGGTTGCAGATGCATGATCCATTAGTCTAATTTAAATTTTAAGGACTCAATATTCGGGCTACTTCATTAAGGATGGTAAAGATTAGAAGTGAATTGCAGTTGAATTTGTGGAAAGTGGACGGTTAGGATTATCCCCACAAGTTCAGGGAAAAGAAAAAAATAACCGAGGAATCCAGAATTAAACATACCTCATCAAAAATAAATAGATAAATTAAAGATTCGAAGACCGTTTTTCTTTTAAAGAGATTTAACTAGAAGTTAATTATATTACCGAAAAAAGCTATCCACCTGATGTATATCATATTTCGTTTTTGTAGGTAATTCATCTTTCCTATCCTGTGAGTGACACGGCTTGAGAGAATCGAACGAGGAGTTGAAGATGGTTTTTACACAAACAGGTTGAGCAATCGTTCTTAAAGATGGTTTTTACATAAACGGGTTGCGAAATCGCTCTCCTTCTATCGCCGGACTGTCTCTGTCTCTGTTGCCACCTTCGCTTTGCCACTTAACCAATTTTACGCCACATAACATCTTATGCCTATCTTCATGTTGTTCTCCACGCATTTCCTCTGGTACTGGCAAGAAGAATTGTTTTTTACAACGCTCGCTTCTTTAGTCAATTTAATTAAAGAGTGTTGCTATAAGAAGAAAATAGACGCCAGTCACTCTTGGGCCGGGGTAAAGGGTTAAACCAAATAGTAATGACAAAAGTATGTTTAACTGCAAGGACTGCGCGCGTTCATAGCGCCGTAGAAAAGTAAGGCGATAACTGTATAACAGAATGAAAAAAATGACAGACAAGGGAAACTGTAGACTGCTGTTTCTATATCAGGGTTGGATCTCGTCTGCACGGTGAAGCAGCAGGAAACACACTCAGCAACCAGCGCGTGGGTTCATTCGAACCTTCACAGATCCTGCATACACCGCCAGCATTTTTGTTTGAAAAGAAACCGCACATATCTATTATTAGGTTGTATTTCATTCAAAATCAGCCTTAAATTGAGTGATCATGCCGTTCTTCGTCAAGCCCTAGCCCCCCTACCCCTACCCCCCACCTCTGTTGATCTCAGTCGTTGCTCGTTCCGCGTCAGCACCTGTTTGCCTGAATGCAACATTGCTCCTGTATGTTTTACTAGTAACAGCCAATCATCATCAAATCATTGTTAAGTCGGTTCCAAATCAATATAATCAAAGAAAAACAAAACAAACATAAAACCAGCGCACACTTGTTTGCCCATGCATCATCTTGTTCCAATTTTTCTTGAGGTAATGACTGATCCGCTGAAGGGTCGAAGTTAATGTCGCGCTTGGACAGAGGGAGTTTTAGCGAGGGGGACTGGTACAAATAAACTTCAACTCCCTCCCTATTGCTTTTCTAAGCTTTCGCGTCGATGGTTTACATATCTCAATCAAATTGAAAATCAAATCAAATCTCTGCTTAGTTACTGCGGCGTTTTTACGCGGAAGGCGGCAATCAAAATATCGACGGTTAGTCACCATTGAATCCTGACGCCAAATGTTAACTCAAAACCAGACTCTTTTGGTGCGTGAAAAGCAATTCAACCTATTCCTTGTATGAAGCTGGGCTTGAGATGTACATGTAACATTCACATCCCATCTAATAAGGGGTTCTAATCACTTTGGCATTCGCTTTTGATTAAAAAGGGGAAACCCTTGCAAAGAAATGGACTATACAAACAAATGGACTATCAAAGGGTATTTCATCACATAGCACTTTTATTCCAAGTGCAGGGAAGCTCATTGACATTTATAACATAACCAAAGTAAAGCGCGCGCTCTGATTGGTCATTTTAGCGTCCCCCATTTGCCCATGGGTGTACGCTGCTGACGTGAGCAAATGCAAAGACTATTTTTCCGCGCGCGCTTGTTTTTTTCTGGTCGCGTAAGATTTGTTAAATAAAAGGGAACTCTTTAGCTACAATGTATCAATGTATCAATGTTATCGCCTCGAGTGACTCTTACGCTTCTTTCGTGCTTAGCAACCTCCCGCGTGCATCCATAACTCAATAGTGTACGCTGTGGTGTTTACCATTCGTTAATTTTTCTGAAGAAAAAGCTACCATCTTAAAATTAGATACCACATTTGGGGCACTTAACATTTAAAATGGTTTGATTTCTTCACCATCTAGACCGACGAAGAACATTCGTATTGCTTTCGATAAAAACAAATGCTTAGTCATTACCAGACTCTTACTGGTCACCAATATTTATTAAATATTGATTACGTCCGGTTCCAACATGACAAACTTACAATCTTCTACAAATGCACTTGATGCCCCAGTTATAAAGAGCAACATCAAAGCAACTTACTTTGTTTTTTCCAGAACTACGGTTGCAAAATTGAAATGCCAGTCTCAATTCATGCAACATTTACGAATCGTAATATTCTTGACAATTTCATAGCCGGAGGCTTTAAAAAAATAAATTTGCATTTTAAAGTTCTCTGGAATTCGAGAACAGGTAACCAATATAAAACGTCGAGCGGGGAAATGTTTTAGTTAGATCCGTTAAATGCAGTTAGAAAAAAGATCCCAAAACCTGTAGGCACAAAATTTAGCTGGAGAAACGTTAGCTGTATATATATTTACTCAGTAAGATTCCTCTTGCTTTTCCTTGTTCTCTATTGGTGGTAATCTTACCGAAGGATCATTAAATTCAATTTTGTCACAATCCTTCCTTCCATTACCCTTTAAAATTCTATAATTCTTATGGTGATCTGAATGTTCTACTCTTTCCCTTTTTTCTTTGTATCTTTCGAGTTTTGGTAATTTTATGCCTTTGTTCATGGCAGGCTCACACTTTCTTTCAAATTTCTCCTTTAGATCAGTCTTGCGTAATGGAGGAAAACTTTTCCTTTTTTCCTGTCTTCTTGTTTGCCTCAATTCCTTCTCTAAAGCTTTAACATCAGTGCTCACCAGGCGAAAATTCCGTTCCATTTCTTGATTCAAATTGTGAACTTGCTTCTCAAAACGTCTGGTGAGACCACGGTTTTTTATTTTGGCGAACTTCGCGGCGAAAACAATATGCCGATTTGGTCGCATCGACAGAATGTATTGATCCCTTTGGAGAGCTTCTTGTCGAAGTCTTTCATGTTTCTCCTGTTTTGTTTCGTTTCCTTCGTCCAAAATAGTTGGAGAAATATTCAATGTCTTTTTATCCCCTTGTGCCCTAAGTCTCTCCAATATCCTTTCAAAGTCGGCCTGTGTTGGCTTATAAAAAGTCCGAGTAGCTTCATTTTCCAAATTTTGCTCCATTTCGAATCTAACAGCCGCCATTTAAACCTACGGATGCTTTGAGTATGTTTTTTATTCTCACAGTCGACGCGTTTTAGCGAATAATGAGTAT